TTATTTAGTTAACAATTCATTACACGTACTGGACATGCATTTTCGTGCTTTGTTACGGCGAAAATTTAACAGTGGTTGACTAACATTTTATTTAGATTTGACTAGTATAGTCGGACCTGTGCATGTCTGTCATGGACTGTATCGGTTTATATTATGCCAGTTGCAAGCCAATGCTGAATTTATGAGCTACTGGTCAACTTTACTGGGATAATGTAAATAAGGAATAAATTCTAGTAACTCCAAATCACTAGGCTTTGAGTTCCTCGGTGGGAGTTAGACGGCAACTTGATTCTAGATGTTTCTTTATAAATTTAAACAAATATCAAAATGTTTTCATAATCATAATATACCAAGTTAATGGATGTTTGTATAAGATTTTTTTTATTCACAAGTAAACTTCACAAAAACGTTGTCACGTGCGTTTAGAGTGACCACTCTATTTAATATTCTTGGTTTTCCCAGTTTATATCGCCTTTTTTAACAATTAACCATCGATACTTAAATTTCGATGCATTTAATCCAGGAAATTTATATAATTTTCAAGTTGATGATTTTAAAACTATGATCAAGACGTTTCGAATTTTTTTAGAGTTCCGTGGATTTGTTCACTTTAAATATATTTTAATTTAGCATAAATCTCGAAACAAGAAAAAACACTAGTAAATGCCTTTTTTCACTTTCAATGAACCAAAACTTCTAAACGTTAGAATATATAGGATATATAGGATACGTTTTTGGACGGTAAATATTTTTGTCCCAAATTAATAGTCTAACTGGTCACCTCACACGTCCTAAAAAGCTCAATTTAGACGCGTACGCAATTAAGCAATATTTTTATTTACACTTCGCCCGGTCAACTTGTTTGTACGAGGTCGTTTAGTGATCATATTAAATTCCATTTGTTCAGTATACTCACATTACGTGACTGTTTGGTTACAACGCCATCTATATTCAGAGTTAGATAACAGTGTGTTTGGATTTTTTCTTTCGGTTTTTCAAACATACTTATGTATCAGTACGTTAATGTACCTTATCGTGATAGGCTTCTGGCAAAAACTGTTCCTATGTTTTGTTACAGTTTCAATCATAAAAGAGGATAAAAAATTCTCAACGTAAAAGAAACAAAAATGCAAAGAGAACGTTGATTAAAAACGGTTTCAATTAACCGAAGTCGATTAGAATTTGCATACATAATTACTTCTTACAAGCCAAATGGAAACGCAGGTAAAACTAAATTTGGCAAAACGAGTCGCTTAATATTGCGAAATATGTGAACCAATCTGTAATTTGCGGTTTTGGTGACCCAATACGATAATTCAACAATATGACAGCGCAAAACGGATAAACGTAGGTTTTCATTGTTGAAAAACACGTACAGAAACATATTCTCATCACTGCCAATTATTGTAAAAAATGAGATAGTTATATTATCGTAAAACTCGAAGCAAAATATTGTTCAAAGGATGAATGTTTAATTAAATTTATTTATGCAGATCAGTACTACAAAATATTAAGTTAGGAAGTGTGAAGGTTATTAACAAATATTTATTTTGCTTTAGTATTTGTAAATATATATCATCATCACCAGCTCACTATACGTCCCCACCGAGGGGCTCGGAGCCTACCCTAATAAGGGGTGACTAGGCCATAGTCAACCACGCTGGCCAAGTGCGGGTTGGTTGACTTCACACATATCTTTGAATTTCTTCGCCGATATGTGCAGGTTGCATCACGATGTTTTCCTAACGTAAGAACGTCGGGTAAATTATGTACATATGAAAATTCGAAAAATCGAAAATCACATTGGTACACGGCGGGATTCGAACCCAAGACCTGTAGATTACAAGTCAAATGTTCAAACCACTGAGCCACCGACTCAGTGGTCATATATATTTACCTTTAATTCAATGAATAACAGCGACATAATAAATCAACTTATGTAAAAAATTAGATAACAGTTTGTCGATTACAATTTTATCGGTTTTTTTTTATAATATTGCTTTTAGCTAAAGTATTTTGATTGATTTGTTACCCAATAATATACACAAATCCTTTAACCTTAGGTGTATTAAAATGGAAACTATTACATCAAATTAAGGCGCTCTTTAAAAAATCAAAGATATGTGTGAAGTCAACCAACCCGCACTTGGCCAGCGTGGTTGACTATGGCCTAGTCACACCATATTAGGGTAGGCTCCGAGCCCCTCGGTGAGGACGTATAGTGAGCTGGTGATGTGAAGGCGCTCTCCTCGCGAATTGCGCATCTTTGGAAGCATAGAACATAATTTCTACAAAGATTTTCGCGATATTTAGTATAATCTGGAATTTTAGGCCTTCCATATCTCTATTGTCAGAACAGGACAGTCGTCCTGCAGTTTTATGTCTATCTACGAGTATAGATATAATAAAATTGGAGTGTCTGTTTGTTATATCAAAAGAAAAATTACAGATTTCAGGAAGATGTATTTGCGTTGCAATACCGAAATTTGGATTTAAATTTTTTTGCCTGTCTATCCGCAAGCCGCGTTTGTTCTAGGTAATCTCCGAAACGACTGGATTGATTTTGACGGGACTTTGGCTGGAAGCTAGCTGAAGAATGTTATAGACGACCATTTTATTTAATTCCACGCCTTCGGGCCTATCCCACCACTAGCTGATAAAGACTCAGATAGCTGAAAAATGACGTCACTGTCAGATTAGGTAACTAAATGCTTTAGTTCCACCACATTTTAGATGTTGGATTATTTTCAGGCAATTTACAATTTAGTGGGACAGGTCCAAAGTAATGTATAGCTTTCAGGAACATGTTGAGGAAGTGAATGGTAAATCGAAACTCGCGAGAAACGAACCTGCCCTTCACGCACGGATCGTATCGCAATACGTATTCTATTACTTGCTTATTACCATTCTGAGGAACACTATATCTGCCGGTAGGATGACCTTATATTTACGTGATTGGAATATATTATACTATGACTTATTTTTATATCATTTTCTATTACAACTTTGTCTTGGGTTATTTTAAGCCGTGTTGTGCGCGGCAGTGCACCAGCCGAGGCGAGTACGGCCAAACACTTTTGTGATAGGCTTTTATATCTTACTTCTTAAATTATATTATTTGTGCGACAGTTTGGATGGATGGATGTTTGTTAGAGTTTATATCCTAATCTGCTGAACAAATCACTTTGAAATTTGGCATAGATGTAGAACATATATAGGGACACGTAGGCTCTAATTAATTTTTTTTTTATTTCCTCGACGACCGAGTTGAGGGCAACGGCTAGTTTATTCATATAAAGTCGATCATAACTTCAACTCTTTAGTTTTTCTTTAACTTATAACCTAAATGTGATATTATAGTAAAACTATCGAAACATTAACATGATTGTTCAAATATAATCAACAGCGATAACCCGAATAAGCCATAAACAATCGTTAGCGTTATATAAGCATATGTATCAAAAGTTAAGGTCATTTGCGGATAGGTTAAAAGTCGTCTTATGAAAGAAGGCAATTTTATAAAGCACGTAGGTTTTAGAGCTCGAGGCTAAACAATACGGGTCTTGAAAGTGACCCTTGGGGCACTCCTCTATCTTATCTCTTCGGAGATGTGTTTTGTTATTCTTATAATTAAAAAGGTCCTCACCTTGCCATTTCGATCATAAATTTTCGTCTCCCGCAGCAAGAAACATGTTGGGCAATTCGCGAAATCATTATCTTGATGAACGATACAAGCAAACGCCGTGCTTTGTTCTTCATTATGTTATGTACGAAAAACCATTTCTAATAATTATAAACAAAAAGGTTATAAACAGTATTCTTTTTTTAAACTATTTTTAATATGTAACCGCAGATGTATTTTAATAAATGACTAACTTTCGCCTGCGACTTCATCCGCATGGAAATAATAAAAAACAAAGTGATTCTGTGTTCTTTCATACTATGTTCTACATCTATGCCAAATTAAATCGAGATCCGTTCAGGCGTTTAGGCTATAAACTCTAAAAAACATCCATCCATACATCCAAACATACGCATTTATAATATTAAGTAAGATTCCACACTCATAAATGATTGAATTAATTGTTTTAATTTTACTGTTACTTGCGACTTCGTCCACGTGAAAGAAAAAAAAGTAACCTATGCTATTTACAGATATAATTAAATTTCTAATGGTGAATGAATTTTTAAAATCGGCCTAGTAGTTTTTGAATTATTTCAGTACATACAAAAATACAAATCTTTCCTCTTCAATATTAAAAGCATCTATTTTTAACACTAAAACAGACAATAGTCATTAAATGGATTTTGACAAATCTTTAAAATGCAACAAAGACGTAAAAAAGTTCACTTCAGTCACGTAAATATCAAGATGTACTTTATGCTTTGATCACATACGACCTATGAATGTCCCAGCGTTTTCCTCTCATCGTAAATCCTTGTTATAAAAGTTTCTAGGTCGTTTATTTGACATGATTAGAATGTACAGCGTCGCGGAAGTATTTACCTATGTGATTGGAATTTTCATACCGTTTACAATTCTGATGTAACTCACCTGTGTTGACATTTAACCTAAATAGATTTTACGTCTTGCTTAAAAGGTATTTATTCCTTGCAAGAATAGAACCATTTGTTATTATTTTAAAATAAAGTAGTTGGTTAGAGAGAAATATATATGTCTAGTATATAATTATTGACACTTGACTTGTCTACAGGTCTTGGGTTCGAATCCCGCTGAACCAATGTGATTTTCTATTTTTTAATTTTATATGTACATAATTTACCTGACGTTCTTACGGTGAAGGAAAACATCGTGATGCCTGCACATATCGGCAAAGAAATTCAAAGATATGTGTGAAATCAACCAGCATTGGGTCAACGTGGTTAAACTATGGCCTAGTCACCCCTTACTTAGGGTAGGATCCGAGCCCATCGGTGGGGGCGTATAGCTGGTGATGATGATAATATGATTATTCAATTGTCTTTTTTTCTAATTCCAGTAAGCACCGGCTACGAATCCGATCGGGAAGAATGGAGAAGCAGTCGCTCCCAGTTCTCTACAACAGCTTTCGACAGTCTAGCGAGACCAACCAAAATGGCGATGGCATTAACACTAAGGAAACCTCAGAGACTTGATCCAGCGCCACAGTATTACCGCCTTTCCAGCGAACCGAAACCAAAACTTACCCCATTACCGTTCAGACCGAATAACTTCTTACAACGAGCACCAAGATTACCTCGCCCGAGTCCAGAAATAAAGAGAAATCTGAGTACGGATCATAGGAAATATACATCACTGCAGAGCTTAGAATTACCGAAGAAGTTGAGCGAACCTAAGAAGAATTCGAATTTGTCGAATAGGATAACAGGATTGACGAATAAATTGCGAGATTTGGGTGTAGCTAGTAATACTATTGGGAGATTCAAGGCTCAGTCGCATGGGGATGTTGCAAATCTCAAGCCAGTATTAAAAAATAACGTTCAAGATGGAGCGAAACGTTCAGTTGTTAGGACATGCAGCGTTGAACCACCAAAGAAAGTTACTTTCAGCGCTTTTGCTACCGTCCAAGTTGTCTAAATTTTTTTAATAATCTTAAGTAATCTAGATAATATTTAATCTTCATTTCCTTTGATTAGAATCGTGTGTAAATGACTGGGTATTAATTAAATTTAGTTTTTATATTGATATGAAAATGTATATTCGGAAGATAATTTTAGACTTTATTAAGATTGAGAATGGGCCGGGATTCCTGTGTAAATAACGTTTTTAGTTTTGCTTTTGTAAAACCTCTTAAATTACGAATTCTTAGTTATAAGCAAATATTGATTGCTGTTATGTATTTCTTTACTTATTCATATTTATGCTATTTGTCTATTTTGCACGCAGTTTCCGTAGACTTACCAAATAATGTTATTATGTTGAAAGAAGTCGCTTTTTAATTTCTGCATGTAAGACATCACTTTTAGCATTCTGCAAGCACTAAATTAAATTTTAATTTTAAAGTAATATAAACGGAGCGACGATTTTGTCTAGTCGATTAATCTTTAACTATCAAAACAATTTTATAAAACTTAATTGTGATCCCTTAGTAAAAGAGATAGCAATATCGAGTGCATAAAATATCGAAAACAAAAGTAATCGATTAGGCAAAATGGCCGTCATCGATTCCGTATTTAAAATTTCTGTTATTTTGAATCTGAACTGACAGTTGTGAACTTCCGCTTGCCCGGTGCAAAGGATCCAACGCTTGCGATGTCCTACAGTCCGATAAACTTATTTGACCCGGTAAGCACAAGAGAACAAAAGCGCATGGGCTCAAACTGGCCAACGAAGTGACACTAGATCCTTGAAGTACTATCTGTCTTGTCTAGACTTATCTTCTTTGTGATTTTCTATGCTTTTACATGTTTTATATTAAAAGTATGATAACAGCGGCATCACCGGGCCAGACGAGTTTGTCGGACAACAATAAAACGAAATGCCACCAATCTTTGATAGATTGCTGTCGGTCAGTTTCAGGTGATGATGGAAATTAAATAGGAATTTATTTATTGTTATTTATTTATTCTATACGAATATCTATCATGAACAATAACAAACGAATAAAAAAAACATTTTTACAAACATGAGGTAAAAAGGTTAATATCTAAATAACTGGAATAAACGTAATTTAAAAACTGTAATATTGCAATATTCAAGCCATTTTTCTAGAAAAATCCATTGTTAATTTGATATTTCTATTCCTCTAATAATCTAGTTTCATTTTTATAATCCGTCCTATTAATAATTATTTATAAAATATTTCTATTTTATCTATGTTTTATTTTATTTTATTTCTAGTCGTCCAACTGTATATTATATAATTCTTTTAATTTAAATCCTAATTAAAATGTGATAATATCATGTTTTCTCCATTATTCTATTTTATAATCTTTATCTCTTGTTAATTTATAATTTTAATGTCCTCCTTTGAACTCTACGAATAACATTTACCATAGATAACCTATAAAAAGATAAATGTCAAAATGTTATGGCGGCAATCTTTGGCGTTTTGATTATTTTTATCATGTATTTCTTTATTTATATATTTTCATGTAATTATATTAAAAAATAAATGTATAGCCTGACTATGTTTATAAAATTCTTGGTATATTTCGGAAAAATACGCAAATATTTTGAACGTTAGAAAGTGAGGTTATAAAGGTGATCAAAGTGCCTCCAGGCTGAGATTTTATATTGGTTTCTCTACAGGTGTGATGTATAATATATTTTGTCATTATCTTAAAGTAATGTATATTTAATTGTATCCTAAGGAACAGTCATAATTATTGTCATTATATTCTGTCCTAGATTATAGATTATTTGAATATTAGATTAAAAAATATGAAATGTAGCTAACGGTTTATAATTTTAATGAATTTATTATGTTGTTAATTGTTTATTCTCCATTGAAATGTTTGAAAATTAATAAAATGTTTGTTAATCTATATTTATTTTTATTTACCATGACATCTAAACGCCATTTATTGTTTATTAATTTCAAATTGCGTTATAATCTATTTGAATTTTTTTTTCTGAACTTTCCGAAAATATAAGCAAGCACTACAAAAATAATTAAGATTCAAATTTTTTAAATAACCGATACTGATGATGATTCCACAGCACAGATATTTAAGTCACCTTTGCCAAGTCATTTGTAAAAAAACATTCTTACAGTTAGTATAAGTAGAAATGTAGAGGATCTCAATATATTATCAAACCCATAGTATGTTCTAAATTTTCAATGGATCTAAAGATTTTTTATTTTTTTCAAAAAATCAAAAATCCCTAAAAAAACATTGTGTTTATTTTAGTTTTTTTTTCTTTATCGATATTCTGTTTAAATTACGTAAACCCAAAAAATTTTTGAACGATTACTTTTAAAAAAAAATCGATATGATATAATTATCTCACAAACAAAACATAGTCTACAATATTGTCCGAATGTGATTATTTTCACATTGTTTATCTTTTCCAGATATAATTAAAGTAATCAAAAAAAAATGTCGAATATCGAACACGTTAACAAATGGTGTTTTAAGATAAATAACCTTTGATAACCTAAACCTGAACATTGCAATAAAAATTCGCAAAGTGTAGCCATTAAATAGCTCAGTTTCTTCTTAGTGGCCGTCTGAGACGAACGTAAAAAAAGGTAAGCACAATATCGAATTAAAAATATATATCGTATATTTAATTTAATCGACTGCCAATTTGTATTGGAATATTAGAATATAATTTTTTTTTCCGATTTTATTGATGTTTTTTAAAAAATCATCATCATCCCTTGCCGTATCCTACTACCGTAGGATCGGCGGTCGGTTTTACGTGTGTTTTTAAATAATAATAAGGAATGTGTAATTAAATCGAAATGAATAAAACTAAATGTTACATTTAATTTGAATGATGTAACTACCATTTTTAACATGCTTTTTAATAACTAAAAACAATTTAAGATAAAATTGATTGATATTTCGTTACCTAACCTTGAAATTATTGATTTTGTTGCACACCATCCGACTGGTTTTTCGAGGAAATTCATAGGAATAATAATTTTTATAGCACAATGTCTGTGAAGAACGCATTTGAGACGAGCAAGATTGTTCCCGATGTCATCCCAACCGCACCCACGGCTCTCATTGGGGTAAGAAACATTTTTTAAATGGAACACGATCTTCTAAACATCCAAATACAATCTTAACTTTTGTCGTAATTTGTGACCATACATAAAAAAATAGTACGAATAGCAATTGCAAATTTAATTATTGAAAAATTAGTAAAACCAATAAAAAGGTAGTAAAAATATTACAAATTAAGTAAAAAAAATTCTTCCCTTGAGTTTAACTCGAATCTTTTACTCTGGTTCCGTTAATTTTTAAAATAAAAGGACATTTATAAGTTCCACCCTTTTTTTATAAGGAAATGCTTGGATGGGAAAGTGGATTTGACGGCGGAGGAGACTCATAGAAAGGGGAAATATCCTCTTTATGCGCGTCTCCTTCTTCGTCGATTTTGGTTAGGCAACGCATCTGCAAATGCGGATGTCTATGGGCAGCGGTCGCTTCGCCGTTTTGGCGGATATAGGTGACCGCTTGCTCGTATGCCACCTCATTGTATGTAAAAAAAATTACACTTAGTTTTTATTGTAATTCTGAATACGTAAAAGCAATTAAATAGAATTGTTATTTAATTCATTAAAAACTCGGTTGACTGATGATTTGATTTTCTCAGTACTATATCTAGCTGGGAATCAATTTAGTACGTAAATTGATGTGACAGACGGATGTATAAATTGCTTAACTATATGTGATTGTTATTCAACTCGTGAATTTACACTTGCCTTATTTATGAAACCATATTTACGATAGTGTTAACTTCAACACAGACATTTGTAGTCAAATTAGATAGTCTAAATTTAATTTGCAAAAGGTTGAGTATGTCTGGTTTTTATTTGTTATTATCTGTTCACGATTTTTATGTCAAACTAGCTGTTCCCGTGCGACTTCATTCGCATGAAATTATGAAAATTGTTTTATTGATTACATTTGTCAAATTCAATTGCAAATGTCAAAATGACATGACATGATGACAAAGTGTGGCAATTTTGCTTCCTTGATGTTGGCAGCAACTTATGGTCTCTTTCCCACATTAGGATTTTATCCAAAATGCCAATTACCCCTAAGTTTAATGGCGTGAAAATACATAGCCTAAAGCGTGACGTGATTGTAGGGATTTTTATTAAAATAAGGATTATTCAACAATATGCTGTAATTGCTGACATCTTAGGCAACAAAGAAGTGTGTGTTTACGCTTTATTATAATAGTATAGATTTTAAAACGTAAACATAATTCACTTTATCAATAATAATTTACTTATTCGATTGATTATTATCGTTGAGTAATAGTAATTATTCATTGACGTGGTATTTCCAAATGTTAGCAATCTCTGATAAAATTATTTGTTCATAAATAATTATCGTAGACGTTGGGGATTAAAATATCAATTCAACCATCAATCAATTTTTGTATATCGCACAGTGCATAAATAATGATAAAATTCTTTCACGGTTTGGATTAGGGTTGTAACGGAGGCCATTTTAACGGAAGCGGATGCGGATGCGGAGGCGAAGTGCTTCACCTCTGCAGAAGCGGAGGTCAATAATAAAATATTAAATGCGATTTATTAATGAAATAACAAAACTACGTTAATTTAAAAGACAGATTGGTACATAATTACAAAATACAGTTTATTATGCAAATATAATGTATAACAATTATAGTTAGTTGACATATCACGCCCGCGTAGACCGCATAAATGAAACCTAATCGCCCCACTAAATTAACCCTCATTATAACTCCGCATAAGAAATACTGGAAACGGAAGCGGATGCGGAGTTATAATTTCTTGCGGAAGTCCGTACTTGCGGACACAGAAGTGGAGTTTCTTTACAACTCTAGTTTGAATACAAAACTTTGACATATGCGGAAACATAAGCTTTTATTCAGCTTCTTATGTCAAAAAGGGTTAAGAAAACTATTCAAAGCTTGACCAGGATTAAATACATATTGCGTAAAAATATTTTACTAGTACTTTTAATTGGAAAGTGATGGAAATAAGGTGGTTAAAGCGCAACCAGGCTAGGAATTTTGTGTTCTTGGCCATACTCTTTTTTATTTATGATTTACTCTGCCTACGTACGGTTTAAATATATTTTACAAAATAATATAAAAATGTAAACACCATTCAATATCTAAAATGGCGGCTATCGCGGGACAACAATAAGATAATCAAAATCAATAGATTATTGTTATTCAGTTTTACCAGTTTAGTGATTTTATAAATTGCAACATCATGGATAACCGTCATACTTATTATAAATGTAAAAGTTTAGGTGGATGGATGTTTGGAGTTTGTAGCCTAAACGGTTGAATGGATTTCGATGAAATTTGGCATAGATGTAGAGGATAGTCTGGAAGAACACATAGGCTACTCACTTTTGTTTTTTTTTAATTCCACGCGGACGTAGTCGCGGGCGACAGCTAGTAGGCTATAAAACTAATTATTGTTCCACATCTTCACACGTAACATAAAATGGTATTCTTAAATATATTTTTCCTATTTCGAACTTTATTGTATACTAGCTGTTGACCGCGTCTTCATCCACGCAACATTGAAATAAAAAAGTAGCCTATACCTAACATGCCCGTCTTTACCTATCCGTCAGTAAGTCCGGTCGAAATCGCAGTCTCCGTGTCAACCACCAACTGGCATGGCATATCTAGCTGCGTTATTGGGATGTCGTCTCAACGCCTCGCTCAACTTCCTTCCCCCTTCCATTCACTCCCTCTACATGGCCAAATCGGCCAGCGCAAATACATCATCTTCCCGAAATCTGGAATTTTTCTTTTGACATTACGAGTAAAAACAGACAGACATTTTATTATATGTATGTAGATAATCCAGTAAACAGATTAATATTTAACAACAACTGACCTACTACAATAAAAGTATTGTTGTCATTACGCCAATAGAGACTAGTTTTCAGAACATGACTTCTGAATTGAATTTTGAGGTTATATATTTTTAAATTCCTTATTCAATTATTATTGCAGTTGAACTACGTAAGTGGCGCGGTTGCCAACCTCGGCAATGAATTGGCTCCTACTGTAGTGAAGGATCAGCCCACTGTGACCTTCGACGCAGAGCCTAACGCATACTACACTCTCGTCTTTACCGGTAAGTTTAAGTATTTTTCAACTAGCTTTCGCCCGCGGTACTGTCCGCGCAGACAAAAAAACGTTACCTCTATGTTCTTCCAGAATACCTACATCCGTGTCATTCATCGAGATCCGTTAAGCAATTTAAGTTGTAAACATCCATCCATTCAACTTTCGTATTTATTTTACTAGTTGTTGCTCGCGACTTCGTCTGCGTGGAATTAAAAAATAATAAGAATATTGCCTATTTTATTCAGCGATAACGTAGCTTTTTAATGGTGAAAGAAATTTTGAAATCGGCCAAGTAGTTTTTGAGATATTTCAAAACATAAAAAAAACAAAATGCATATCTTTTCTCTTTATAATATTAGTATTGATTATTAAAGTAGCAAGTGTCGTGGTTACTTTTGTTTTTTACTATTTTTTATACTACACTAGCTTTTTCCCGCGAGTCTGACTACGCGGAATTAAAAGACAAAAGTGAGTAGCCTACGTGTTCTCCCAGACTATCCTTTGTCTATCCAAATGTCATCGAGATCCGTTAACTTGTTTAGGCTACAAACTCTAACAAACATCCATCTAAAAATTCGCATTTATAATATTAGTAAGTAAGAAGTAGGATGTTCTTTATTTCAGACCCGGACAACTACGATGGTCCTGAACCAGTATACCGTGAGTGGCATCACTGGTTGGTAGGAAACATCCCCGGTAACAATGTATCCCAGGGCGAGGTGCTGTCCGGATATATCGGTTCCGGACCCCCAGAGGGCACTGGTATTCACAGATACGTCTATATTTTGTACAAACAACCGGGAAAAATCACCTTCGATGAGACCAGATTGACCAACAAGTTAGTATCTTTATTTTTATTAAATAAAAAATAGATTTGGTACTAGAATTTCATACTATAAAATTTAAGTAAATTAAATAATGGACTTAACTTCAAAGGATTAAAATGTTTTGATACTCTTAACCATGATTTTCAGCTATTATTAAAAGATGTTTTTTTATTTAATAATTGTTATAACTGGCTTTCACCCGCGACTGCTTCAGCGTGGAATTAAAAAAGTAGCCTATGTGTTCTTCCAGACTAGATCCATGCCTAACATCCATTCAAACTTTCGCATTTATATTACTAGCTTTTACTCGCGACTTCGCCCGCGAGAAATTAAAAAAATTGTAAAAAAATATATAACCAATGTTATTCAGTGATAACGTAGCTTTTTAATGGTGCAAGAAATTTTGAAATCGGTCCAGTAATTTTTGAGTTATTTCAATACATACAAGAATACAAATCATTCCTATTTATAATATTATATTAGTATACAAGTATATATTAAGATTGATTATGTAAAAATATTGATTACAATTGTATTTTATTTAAAACTGTCTTTGAACCAGGTCTATCGATGGGCGCGCCGCATTTTCAACCAAGAAGTTCGCAGAGAAGTACAATTTGGGCGCTCCCGTCGCTGGCAACTTCTACCGCGCGCAGTTTGACGATTACGTGCCTTTGTTGTACAAGAGTTTGGGAGTTTAATTGTACACAGTGCGACAAACTTGTGTGACCCGGTGAAGCGTACTATAGAACACATTTATTTTTGTTAGGAATTATGTAAAAGGCGCTTATTGACAAGATCCCACAGACAAAGGATTTCATTATTCCATTCTGGAACTTCAGAATTGTTTGACGGATTTTGTGATACTTTCTGACATTGACAGTTATTGAGCTATCGTAATTGACACTTGTCCACCGGGTCTGATAAGTTTGTCGTTTTATACTTATATATCCATCCAAATATTTTCCTTTGAACTTGTAATTCTTGAAATTTCTGAATTTTTGAATCAGAAGTGTAAAAACTTACGTATTGGTATTTGTACAGTGTAAAATGTAAAATCTCATTTTCCTTTTTACATTAAGTGAATAAATTATTTACAAATATATATTTTTTTTATTTATAAACCCCTTATAACCTAAGGTAAAAAAATGTAAAATGCGCTATCTTCCTAAAATCTTACTAACTGTTGCCGGCGACTTCGTTCACGCAATATTAAGATAAAGTATCTTGTAATATGCGCGTATGTCTACTCTTCAGTGAAAGTCCGGTCGAAATCGGCTCAGCCGTTTCGGAGATTACCCGGAACAAACGCGGCTTGCGGACAGATAAAAAAAAAATGCGATTTTCGCTCAGAAACGCAAATGCATCATCTTACCGAAATCTGGAATTTTTCTTTTGAAATTACTGACATTCTAAATTTTATTATGTAAGGTATACGTGAAAGTTTAGATGGATGGATGTTAGTTTGTAGCCTAAACGGCTGAAAATTGTCATAGGTGTAGTCTGGAAGAACAAATATGCACTTTTTTCTCTTTTCAATTCCACACGGGCGGAGTCGCGGGCGAAAGCTAATAAATGAAACTAAAGCATCAGATATAATGTTATATTTGAAAGGTTAAACTTCTCTTACAATCTAAAGCAAAACACAAAGAAAATCCAAAACCAACTGATTACATCAATTGAAATGCAATATTCTAAATGGCGATCTAAAAAAAAGGAAACTGAATCTATGATTTCATATTCCCTATTTAAAAAAAAATACTTTTGAAATCCCCGGAAATCAATCAAGGAAAAAAGAAATCTCTTTAATTAAAAGAGATGTAACTCATCCCAAAATAAGAAATAGCTACGCAACATTAGGTGTAAGCGGAAGGGAGAATCTCAAGTGTCATTTTTTCTTTAATGGATTTAAAACACTGATCTGTATAAAAAGATAGGTCTTTTAGAAACATAGTTTAGTTCAACCCGACTTTAACTCACCTGTTGACATTAACAGTTAATAATTACCCAAAACCGTTAAAATGGCGAATATCAAATAGTCGAAACATTTTATCCTATCCATTTATAAAGATCAGTGACTCAAGGGTATTTATAACAATTTTAGTTCCAACGCCATCTGTCGATTACAATTGCAGTTTGGAAAGCAATTGTTTCAGTCTTAGGTCGGCGCTCGCGGAGAGCGGACGTGCCTAGTTGCCGAGCTGCTTGTACAGCAAGGGCACGTAGTCGTCGTACTTCGCCTGGAAGAAGTCGCCAGCGACCGGGATGCCGAGATTGTATTTAGTTGCGAATTTGTTGATGGAGAATTTAGCACGGCCCTTGTCCGATCTGAAATTACATTTATTTTCAGTGACTGTTTGAAATTTACTTTAAAACTAGGACGAAGTGGTGGAAAAAAAATTGCTTGGTAGAAAAGATGCGCGCTTTGAAACATCAACAAATAACTTTAGAAGGGACTTTTTACAATAATTTATTAAAGTGTATTCAGTAATAACTCAATCACCAGTTAGTATAGCCATCCTTCCTTTACATACTTGTATTTAGTTAGCTCACTTAAATGTTAGCTTAATTTATAAAATCTTAGACAAGGTTATTTAAATTTTAGATTAGCTTATTCAAATGTTATCTCATGATATATTATCTTAGCAAATTAAAATGTTAGCTTAGCTCACTGAAATGTTAGTTTAGTTCATCAAATGTTAGCTTAGCTCACTCAAATGTTAGTTTAGTTCATCAAATGTTAGCTTAGCTCACTCAAATGTTAGTTTAGTTCATAAAATGTTAGCTTAGATCACTCAATTGTTAGTTTAGTTCATAAAATGTTAGCTTAGCTCACTCAAATATTAGTTTAGTTCATCAAATGTTAGCTTAGCTCACTCAAATTTTAGTTTAGTTCATCAAATGTTAGCTTAGCTCACTCAAATGTTAGTTTAGTTCATAAAATGTTAGCTTAGATCACTCAATTGTTAGTTTAGTTCATCAAATGTTAGCTTAGCTCACTCAAATTTTAGTTTAGTTTATCAAATGTTAGCTTAGCTCAGTAAAATGTTAGCGTAGCTTATTCAAATGTTAAATTAGCTCACCAAATGTTAAGTTAGCTTACTCTAATGCTAGCTTAGCTCAGTCAAATGTAACTCACGTGTTGGGCAGGCGAGGCTCATCAAAGGTCAGCTTCCCCGGCTGCTTGTAGACCAGGAAGACGTATCTGTGTAGGCCGGTGTCGGGCGGCGGGCCGGCGCCCACGTACGCGGAGAGCACCTCGCCCGCGGACACGTCGCAGCCGGGCACGTTGCCCACCAGCCAGTGGTGCCACTCGCGGAATGTCGGCTCCTTACGCGACGGCGCGTCGGGGTCTATAACGAACAACCAATGGCAACAATAGCCTAATGGTTAGGGCACCGAGTACCTTGCGGTCGAAGGTTCGAATCTATTTGACTATTGTCCGGACAATATCCTAGCACAAGCTTAGAGCTTAGTTGGAATAGTTAATGAAAATTTTAATAAATCAACAAAAATCTATTTTATCTTTATGATAATTGACACATTACGAGCTTCTTAAGCTCGTAGCTTTTTGATGAAGGAACTTTTAACATCGGCGCAGTAGTTTTTGAGTTATTGTAATAAATAAATTAAATCATTGGTCTATTTGCGATACCTTGATATCTCAATTATTGCCTTTCTACATATGCCAAAGAGAAGATTTATTAAGCACTAGTCTTCAATTCTGGCTTAAGGTAAGCAACATGTTCCTCACCGGTCATGGCCACCGTATAGAAGGTATTCTGCTCAGCATCCCATTTCACAGTGGGCTGGTCCTTCACTTGGGTCGGTGTTAGTTCATTACCCTCTTTCACCTCCGCACCGCTGGGGTACTTCACCTGGAAAAAACATAGTCAATTCTTAACAAACTACCCACTGATTAAACTTAACTAAGTATTCTAGAATCATCATTGTTAGAGACATTTTCGATACATTTCAATATGATTTTGATTTAAATAACTCAACAGAAATACGAAGATGACTTCTGTAAATTAAAAACCTTGAACATAAAACAATAATAATTGAAGGTAAATAATGAGCTAAGGAAAATTCCTTAATAAATAGGAAAAAAGACAAGGTAATTGTGTTAATCTTTCAATCCACTAAAATGACCCTGTAAAAGGATAATTCTAAATTACATCTTCCTTGTAAGGAAACTGCATAACCTGATACACCTAGATACAAGCGGTTTATGATTCTCAGTTGACAAGGTTAACAGGATCTTATCCTTTGAGAAGATAACACGACTGTAACCTGGGGTCTAAAACCTCACACTCGATTATTGTCGTCCCTTTCACTCTACTGGTAAAAGAAGAGGTGACAATATGCATTAATACGGGTGTATCGGTTAGTTAAAACTGTATTTGCTTGAAGGGAAAAGATGTGATTTTATAGATTTATGATTTTAAAGACGGTTTTTCGTAGATAAAAAATAATGAAAACATAAAAATTGTTAAGAGTTATTTATTTGTAGTTTGTTTATTAGTGTAACATAATAAATATATTCAATTTGTAATAATTTTAATTGTAATTTGTTGGGTTAATGAGGTGTAAATAATGACATGAATACATACAGTCGAATCAACCAATTAAATATAGTGAGTGTGCTAGTCACGGCAATCAAACTGCAATAAAGGATCATATTCAATAATAACAAAATTACATTACAAAAGAAAATAACATATTAACAATGTATAATTTTCTCCAACAAATGAATGTAAGGATTTTTCCCAACAAGCGGAAGTAATGTTCCGTGGAGATGTTTTTAACAGACTTCAAAAAGACGGTTCTCAATTTGACCGGTATTTTTATGTATATACGTCGATTACGCTGCGATTTATGATCAATTTAACGTCATATTTGTTTTTTTTTTTGTTTGATGCGGAATATCTGTAATTTGACCGCATTTTCTAAAATTAAAAACTACCCAGTAGTTTTTGAGATTTCCTTAAAAAATGTTCATTTTGGAAATTTCCGACTTTTGTCGGAAATTTTAGTCTTGTTTCCTTTTTTTTTAAATGTAGATTTGTATTTAAGTTAATTTCATTGTTATGTTTTAAGCCTTTAGGTCTTAGGTGCTAAATGACTGAAACGACTCCCAAAAACAAACAATTCACTTTTGGTCCTTCTAAATAAGTTCACAAGAAATCAGTTTGCTGTTAGCTCTGTTCGCACAATTTCACCACTTTCTCTATTCTCTGACGTATCTGTCTTTATAACCTGGTATACACTGCCAAAAAAGTACACGAAACTTAAAGATAACTTTTTTTTAAAATAGATTAGCTGTTGCTCGCGACTTCGACTACGTAAAATAAAAATAGCTTATGTGAATAATTTTTAATATCAGCCCAGTAGTTTTTGAGTTATTTCTATACAAAAAAAAACAATTTTTTCTCTTTAAGATATAAGTATAAAATAAGATACAAAATATTTTGTTACTGTGCTTTTTAAAGTTCAAAATAGCACTATTTAGTGGCATTTCTACCTGTCAATTATTAAAACAAACATCGTCGAGAAACGAAATAGAAACTGTGGACACTATCTCAGTTTCAATCCACAAGATAAAAGATATTGATTGTTGATAAGATTCACTCTAAACAAAAGTATTGGCTTTTTTACATAACGTATTGAGAAAGCCGACGCATCCATTTCGGAACGAAACGAGTTTTAAAACGATAAAAACGAAACATGTGTCGAAAATAATCTAAAACGAGTTTGGATATCTTAATACATTAAGAATATATTATGTTAAAAATAAAAATAGTTTAACAACAAAAAATAATCGGTGTGAAAAATTAATTTACGCGAAATGAAAACTTGATTTGCTTATTTTAACTTGGTCATGGTCTAAAGGTAAATGTAATTAACTTGAGTTCCTTATTGAATTGCAATAAACATTTAATTTTAAAGTTAAAGTTTTATTAAGAAAAATATCTTAAAACAGTTTAATGCAAAGAACTAGATTCGATTCCCGGAAACATCGAACTTTCTTAAATAATTATGAATGCTTCAGAATAATTTCAAAACCCCTAACCTGTACATCTCGTCCATTTCCATTTTTTCGAAGCTAAAATTATAAGTCATATATATTTAATTGAAACAAAACTCACCTTAAGTTGAGCGGCAGGGGCGATTGGGACAACATCGGGAACCACGGCGTTCTCAGCAAACGATTTAGCGATGGTAGACATCCCTCTAGCAAGCACCCTAAAATTGACCATGCCGACGGCTAGTAACAAAACAATCACACATCTCAACATTTGCCCCATTTTAAAGGACAGCACACGTCTGTTCGTAACGAACGTCGAAACAGTTATGCGTTGAAACTATGCGACAACCGTTTAAATAGCATTCGTTACATTGAAAACTCTATACCTAGCCAGTATGTTGCAGTCACTTTGTATAATGCGTTATATTAGAAAGTTTCTAAAGTTACTATTTCTACTTTATTTCACTAGTTATTGATGATCATCTGGAGGTTAGCACGTCTATAGATACTCCTTCCCTTAAATGGGAAGTCAAAGTAATGTAAAAAGAATGTAAAAAGGATTGGTTGCTTCCATTACAAAGTTAGACGTTCCGTGTTTTGACTAATTTTTACAATATGTATGCAACATTTACACAGGAATTAACCATAGATTTTTTAAACTCAGTGTCAAGATCTGATTATGTTATTTTATCTTTGTTAATAGTTTACTAAGAGATATAAATATTTACCTGCGTCAATGTAATGCAGTGAAATTTTAAATAAATATGGTTCCACAGATTATTAGACTTTTAATAACTGTGCTAAAATTGTTTTATAAACAAAAATTATTCCATGACAAACTTGTGCAACATTACTATATGAGCAAAATGTTTAAAAAAACACATATAAGATTTTATTTTAACTGGATAAAGTAAAAAAGGAGTGATGGATTGCATATAACAAGGAGAATGTTAGTTATGAGTGTGGAGGTACACTGTCAAAGGTAGACCTAGAAAGAGATGGATGGCGTGAAAGATGACATGATAAAAAGGGAGTGATGGCTGAGATGATGTATGATAGAGTTATGTGGAGGACAAAAATCTGTTGCACCGACTCTGTAGAAGCAGCATAAGGAGGAAGATGACGATAAGATCAAAAAAAATTGTCTCTTTTAGTGGATCTTGATAATTGACACATGTTAAACATAGTCTAAAAGACACATATCTATTTACTATGCTTTATTTTAATTCTGCACACACAAAGTCACAGGCTCAATCTAGTTGTAATATTAGAATGCATAATAAACATGATTCTGCCATATATACTAGTACATATGTACTTATTTATGTGTATATGAAGTTTCTGATTCCGTGATTGGAATGTGAGTGTCCGTATTATGACAACATCATTGTCACTAGAGTCTAAATATTAGCACTTGTTTTCACACTTGGAGTTCGTTAAAATCATACACAAGTATGTTGAATTATAATCATAAAATGTGGAACAAAAGGTATCTTTCCAGCAGTAAATTTAGTCTGCTGAAGTTTGTACTGCAAAATGGTTCAACCACAGTATACTCGGTTCTAAAAAAAATACAATAAGAAATGTCTCATACTATAAAACTAGCATCTGCTTGCTACTTTTTACCCATTTGTAGTATAAAGTATAATTAGGCCAATATGGTATAATATTATTTCAAACTATGTTTCGCCCGCGACTCCATCCATGTGGAATTACAAACAAAAGCAAGTATGTGTTCTTTCATATTATCCTTTGCATCTATACCAAGTTTCACCGAAATCCGTTCAACCGTTGAGGCTACAAACTCTAGCAAACATCCATCCATCCATCCATCTATACATCCAAATGTCACATTTATATTTAGTATGAAGTGTGATTGTAATATTTGTGAAAAGTGAAAGAAAAATGATTATAAGCTAGTTATTACTGGACTTCATCAGCACAGAGAAAATCTAGCCTCCCAACAGTGAAAGGATTTTTCAAATTGGTTCAGTTGTGGAGCATATTCAATGTAAATAAACAATCAAATAAGAATAAGTTATAAATTTTCAATCATTATGTTAACACCTTATGCGGTGGATTACATATAGTATTGTTAGAATTCTTATTAAGATATTTTCATGACAGTCTAATTGTTTTTTATATGAAAGACCTTTAACTTTAATAACAACATGTACTAGTACATACTAATACAGAATATGTTAAATCCATACAGGTAATGTCATATCAGGTCATATAAACCGGTTTGACATATCAAAAACCAGCTTTTCATATCATAAACTGGTTTGTTAAAAAATAATATTGTTTGTAAAAACACATGTAAATGGTATATAGGTATATAACCAAGGCATTTATTTAGACTGCATTACGTGACGTATAACGGGAATATGCATGATTGGCAGCACGCCCAAAATTATCACCTAAATGCCGGTATTCCGACATTTTTAAATTACAACTATAGACCAATATTTACATGTATTAACTTCGATTTCTAACGTAATATAGAGAAAATAATGATTTCTGGCTAAGGTACAATTGGGAAATTATAATTTATCTGTTACATAAGTACAATCAGGAGTTTTCTTAAGACTGGCGCACTAGTTCTTGAAACTATAAATATGCAAAAGGTAAAGAACTAAAAACTTCTTACCTTAAAACGAATGTAAAATCTAGAAAACTAGGCAAGTATTATGAAATATTGATGAATATAAATCTAGATAAGGTTTAAAAATTCTAGAAATTGATAAAGATAACACGCCGGCCTAAGATGACACGACTCAAATTGACATTGACATAAACATACATAAAGAGCATATACGATATCGAGAAAAATAACAAGAACTAAGATCTTTGCTGTTATTAGAGAATGAATACAAGATACTGGGATAGCCTTCATTTTGTAAAATTGAAAAACATGAATGCCCTGGCTTACTGTGTGAATATTGCATGCATTAGGGCCTGTAATAATTTTGTTTACAGTTCTTTTTTAGATTCTTGCTCAAGTGTCGTTTCTGTCTTAATCAATCTTTGTTGTTTGTGTCAACTGTCAATGTCAAACAAAAGTGCTTATTTTTCGATAGTTGCGTACTTTTACGTGTTATTTCTAAATTTTTACATGTAATCGATAACTACCTTAAATTTTTAAAGCTTACAACGAAATTATCATGTCATATTATCAAATATATTCATTACTACGTAAGTGGAAGAAAAAATGAAGTGTATATCATGTTAGGTGATATTCAACTAACGAAGCGTTTAATAGTTATTGCATTAGTTCTTGGGGTTATTCTAATTTTAAAAGAGTACGTATTCGACTTTTCAATATGAGTCAGTCGCGGGTGGCTTACTTTTACAATGCGGACGTAGGTAATTTCCACTATGGACCTGGTCATCCGATGAAGCCTCACAGGCTCGCAGTAACGCACAGTCTTGTGTTACACTATGGTTTACACAAGAAAATGCAAATATACAAACCTTACCAGGCTAACGCACACGATATGTGCCGGTTTCACAGTGAAGATTATATAGAATTCTTGCAGAATGTCACTCCACAGAATATTCAAAGTATGTAATACCATTTTAATTTATTAAGTATTTAGTGGTTTAATTTATCACGAAAAGTAATTTAATAAATGTAAAAATTGTTACTTTTAGAAAGACTTGTAAATAAAGCTTGTTTTTGACTGTTTAACTGTGTGTGTACAGAATGAACTTTCCAATCCACTTTAGATTATCAGTGTGCATAGATCTTAGTCTATCATGAAGCTTAATTAGTTAGTTTTATTAAAAAAAAACATTAAATACTTGTGACTTAACTTTTAGTATTGATACCAAAGATTATATTTGTTTTAAGCATAGCAAATAAAAAGAACTCATTTGAGCATTCATCTGCCTAACAGTGGAGTCCTGGCATGGCTTCCGGATAGTGTAGTGGTGGACCCAAGAGTCTAAAAAGAATTCAACAGTTTAAAAATAGACTAGATAAACTTAAAATCTCCGAGCAACAGTTTTCTTTAATAACTAACAAAATACTTTAATTTCAGCATATTCAAAAGATTTGTTGCATTACAATGTAGGTGATGATTGTCCAGTATTTGAAGGTCTGTTTGATTTCTGCTCTATGTACACTGGTGCATCATTGGAAGGTGCAATGAAGTTGAACAATAATGTTTGTGATATAGCAATTAACTGGTCCGGTGGATTACATCATGCAAAGAAATTTGAACCTTCCGGTAAATATAAAATATAATAGATTTTAATTTACAATAGTTTGACATTTTATGTTATGAGGAGGGATTAATCTCAAGGAGAACATTAATTATGAGTGAGGAAGGGTATACCAGTAGAGGTAGATCTAGAAAGAGATGGATGGATTGCGTGAAAGGTGACATGATCAAAAAGGGAGTGACGAATGCAATGACATATAATAGAGTTATGTGGAGTAGGATAAGGAGGCTGATGATAATGATTAGTTTGACATTTCACGTCTAAAAATACAGCACTGTTAATGTTGTTAGTGTAAAAAAAAACCAAGGAGTACCGTGCAATAATAAAAAAAAACTATTCTATAGAGATAGTTCACTCATAGGGAAGTTGAGATGAATATTATATAATAACTAGGTGTAGCCCACATAAATAGCCAATGTGTTCTTCAAGACTATTTTCTATATTTGTGGGTAAATACAGCAAGACCCATAGAGCTAGTCTGAAGTAACAAACATCCATCCATCAATTAAAACTTGCATTTATGATATCAGTAAGGTTTATTAAAAATTGTTTCTGTTTGTGTTCCAGGTTTTTGCTATGTAAATGATATAGTAATAGCGATATTGGAATTACTAAAGCATCATCCTCGTGTATTATACATTGACATTGACGTCCACCATGGTGATGGAGTCCAAGAAGCGTTCTACCTAAGTGACAGAGTGATGACAGTTAGCTTCCATAAGTATGGAAACTACTTCTTCCCAGGGACAGGTGATATGTATGAAATTGGAGCGGAAAGTGGAAGATATTTTTCAGTAAATGTACCTCTAAAGGAAGGTATAGATGATCAGAGTTATGTACAAGTAAGTAACTTTTTTACTAGAAGGTGTGTTTATAATTCAGTGATTTATTAATATGTTAAATAAAAAGGTACATTCGGAAAAACAGGTGTTTACCTTTAGTGATACAATTATTTGAACATTTTGACGTCGCGGACATATATCTGTACAACACAGCTTATATATGAGTCTGTAGGAAAAAAAGTTAGTGATACACGGCTAGTTTTATTATTATCCCTTCATTGTACCACTCACTACTATTCAATTATTTATTTATACCTAGAGACGTTTGTCTCGTTCTAACGAACAAAATAGTGAACAGTGGTAGAGCCAGCTTTAATATCTTCGCACGAATGGGCCGGCTTTCCCCGTGTAATACCACGACCATACAGAAAATAGGCGTGAAGTGGAAGCAATGTCTGATTAGCGTGGTGCCGAAGGCCTAATTTCAGTCCCTCTCCCTTTCCACCCTTTTCTTGAGAGGAAAGGATGGGAAGGAAAAGTGGATTTGACGGTGGAGGAGACACATTGAAAAGGAAAGTGTCCTCTTCATGTCTTCTCCGTCAATTAAGGGTAGGCAACGCATCTGCAATTGCGAATGTTTGTGGGCAGCGACGCTTTCCATTTCGGTGGATTCAGGTGGCCGCTTGTTTGTTTGCCACCTTGTATTATAAAAAAGAAACATTTTTTCACAAATTTTCCTGATGTGGAACACCTGGATTTTATACACTTTTTTATTATGCTAATGCTAGTTTTTAAAGTTATGTTCTTTCAATAATTTGTAGGCTATAAACATCTACAGTAGAACCTCGATAAGTTAAAGTCCAAGGGAAACACAAAACATTTTAAGTTATCAAGGGTCTATATAGAGGTTTTGGGCTCTGATGGGAATGGTATGTAATATTTTTTTAAATTACAGAGGTTTTTAAGTTACCGAGGTTTGAGTTATCGAGGTTCTACTATACTTGTATTTTAAGCATAATGGTTAATAGTGCTATACAAAACTATACATATAGATTATTAGTTGATTGTGTATATTTTTTTAGGTATTCAAACCTGTGATATCAAATGTGATGGAATTCTACCGTCCTACAGCTATTGTATTACAATGTGGGGCTGATTCTCTGGCGGGGGATCGCCTCGGTTGCTTCTCATTGTCCACAAGGGGTCACGGGGAATGTGTCAAGTTTGTGAAGAATTTAAATGTGCCTACATTAGTTGTAGGTGGCGGAGGGTAAGTGAAAGTTGTACATACTAATTGTAGATATATATATATGACGTCATTTTTAAAGTACGCAAAATGTTTGGAATGGATACAAATAATTATTGATATATTTTGTCCATCCATATGTTAAATTATAAAGACTATATATTAAGTTTGATTTTCAAACTAAATCATTAGGAAAAGTATATATTCTAGAGATATTAAAAAATTCAATTTGTGTGTATGGCATTTAAATATTTTTATTCTTATCAAAGCACAATTTGTGTCATTAGTATTATTAAAGTGACCAACAGAAATGTCCATTTTATTTATATGTCGCAATCAGAGGAAGAAATCAATTTGAATTTAAGTCATAATTAGATCACGAGCGTCTCTAAGCGACTTTCGTGAGAACTTAGAATATTCTTACAATAGGGATCGTTGCAAGAACATTGTTTGAACGATATTGGTAGATAGGTAGGATAGGTATACGAGCTTGGTAGATTGATGATATCCTGACTGAGGAGTATTGTGAATGTGTTCCTGGAATCCGACTTTACCCATGGCCGCCCACATGTGTTCTCGAGTAGTAGTAATTCTGATATCGTGCTAGCTCAAGTCGTTATATTTAAGTAAGTCCAATATTTAAAAATATGTATGTATAATTTCAGATATACATTGAGAAATGTTGCCAGATGTTGGACATATGAAACTTCCTTATTAGTTGATGAGAATATTTCCAATGAACTACCATATACAGAGTATTTGGAGTTTTTTGCACCAGACTTTCAGTTGCACCCAGAAATTAGCAGGTAACTATGCAATTTATTTATTTAATAAGATCAATAAAACATTTATAAGAATACTAACGTTCCCCCGCGACTCCGTCTGCAAAGAATTAAAAAATCATGTGTCCCTAATTGGGGTCTTGGAGTCGACTTTAAGTTAGAGGTGACAATATAAGGTTATTACTACATGTAAAAGCTTTGTTTAATATTCCAGGCCTGATAATACAACAAATGCGAACAGCAAGCAATATTTGGAGGCAATCACTAAATATGTGTATGATAACCTCAAAATGTGTCAGCATTCCCCCGCTGTGCAGATGTCACATATACCAGGTATTATTATATGTACTGATTGACAAATTTACCTTTATCTCTTTTTTATAATTAACTAGATGTTGCTTGTGACTTCGTTCACATGAAATTAACCAAAAAATTATAATCAAGATTTTTTTTTATAAGGACTTTGGTTGATAAGTTGATAAGTCCAACAAAATTTTTTCAGGTGATTTCTTCCCGGAGGACTATAAAATCAAAGAAGAACCAGATCCCGATGTGAAGATGACTCAAGAGGAAATAGATAAATTTGTGGAGCCCAAGAATGAGTTCTACGAAGATGATAAGGATAATGAGAAGGAGACAGTTATAGAGAAGAAGGAAGCATAGCATACGGCCGATTTGACTGATCCTTTAGTCACTTGACACGTGAAGGGATACAAGAGGTATAGACATTTGTTTATGTAACCTCTTTAGTGCAGTGATTGACTTTTAAGTGATTAAGTGAAGTGTAAGCGTAATTAAGTTAAGACCCGGTAAGAAATACTGTATTCAAATAAGGATATCTAACTTGACAGGTGCTGCCACTGACCTTTATCAATGGACAGGCTATATCTAGATTGAAATAGGCTTATTTCATTGAAATATAAGTAAATTAGCAACTAAAATGTGTCTAAACAAAAATTTAATCATTAGTTTAGCAAATTATATGGACAACAGTATTTTGGGTGTTAAATTACTTGGTACTTACTGGATTATTCCTAAGATGTTTGGCTGTTTTTTTCCCATTTTCGCATTTCGGTTGCTGTTAGTCATGTTGAGGATTTGAACTAATATAGATAAATTTACTGCCATCATCAAAAACTCTAATTTCCATGACCTACCCATTTATACAGATCAGTGGAAGCGGCTATCAGTTGGTTCTGTCAGAAAATATGTAAAATCCACCAGATCTGATGTCAGTCTACAGTTTCATTGATCAATATGTAAAAATTTGCTTAGGTCTAAAAATTGCCTGTTAGATGATAACTATAGTCCGATAAGGCGTTTGATATTGGATAACAAATACCGTTACCATGGAAACCTTGCTTCCTTGATGTCAGCTTGTAGTTTATGGTCCCTTTCCCACATGAGGGTTTTTTCCAATTTTTTTACCCCCTAAGTTTTATAGCGTGACTATATAGAATCTAAACAATGTAGTAATGGCTCTTTAATAAAATAAATATTATTCAAAAACTTGCTGTGATTTCTACCTTCTTACGGCACGGATTATTAACGATCGTATAGAAGTGATTTAGTATCGGGTCCTGTCCCACCACTAACTGATATAGGCTAAGATAGCTTAAAACGACGTCGCTCCCAGATAAGAGAAGAAAATCTGATATTTCCGTCACATATTTTACATGTTCGATTGTTATCTGGATATTTACAATTTGGTGGGACTGACCCTAAATATGTAAAACTTGCTTAGTCTTCAAAATTTACCCGTGAGATGATATCTATAGTCCGATAAGGATCTGGTGGTACTTTAACATTGACAGTATTAGAGCTGTTGTAATTCACCTTCTCTTTTGCACATCAAGTGAGATATGTCAATTTATTTCTGTGGTCATAGACAATGATAAATAAATATTTTCTCAGTAAGACTTAGGACCTGTTCCACCACTGGCTGATAGAGGCTCAGATAAATTAAAAGTAATGTCACTGTCATAGAGTACCAAAATCCGATATTTCCATAACATACTTTATATGATGGTTATCTGACAATTTACAAGAATTGTGGAACAGGCCCTTTATATGTAATGCTTTCATTTGGTCATATCAGGATAACTGGCAAATTATGTTTTTTTTTTTTTCATATATTGTGTGTTCAATATTTTATATATCCTTCAAGAATGCTAAATGATTTAATTGCTTCTCCTGTAAAATAATGAAATTGCATTTATCATGACTTATGGCCACAGAATTATACTAATATAAAATTGTATAACCTATAATTTTTCCAAAGGTAATTTACCGACGTTATGCGGTGTAACGTTACAAAGTGTAATATTTACATTGATCTTGTTGGTTTCCCCGAACCACTGAATCATCATGTAACATGTAACATTACCGTGATGTTGGTACATCTTGGTTAGTCTTTTTATATTTTAAGTTTAAGTGAATAATGCTCATTGGCTTTTAATTTCTTCCTCTAGATATAAGTTTTAATAATAGAAAATTAATGGTATTTTTTAACATTATTTTATCATCTAGCAACATTCATTAAATTTTACTATAATCAAGGTTTTAAAAATGAATATTGGCTATTGACCAATTTTTCATTATATGTGTATTTTTTATAGATTTTAACTCAATCCAATGCATTCAATTTTAATTACAAATAGTAGAAATATTCATGTCTTATTTTTTTTATTTCATGACATATTTGAGTAATTTTAGAAAGCAACTTGAATGATTCATTGTAATCTATAACAAATAATGTAGTAAATGTAATTTAATATAATGCTTCGCCTAGATGGTAGGGAGAGGATAGTTGTGGAAAAATAGATAAAAAATATTTGAATAAAACCATTTTTAAATTTTAACTTCTTCAACCTAGGTGTACATCATTAGCCGGTGACGCCTTTGGGCAAACTGTGTAATACATAAAATAGGATAAATTACTGCCGGTTATAATGCAGTGTTATGCATGTATATGACGATTAGCTTAGTATGTCTTAAAGTAGTAAACCGTGGGTCTAAAAACATAGTCATTCCCGCTCTTTCTTATTGAAAAGACAAGGACACTATGTTTTTGAACACGTGTTTCGTAAAGGTTAGCCTATAGAGTGTTACATAAACGTTTAAAATACGAGGATCAGTCAAATCATTATTAAATTTGTACAAAATTTAAAATGTATAGTATAAGGTTAGTTAGCGGAGTTTAAGTAAGGAAATGCAAGTTAATTGACAGTTCATAGATAAGCTAGAGTTAAGGATTATAAGGTTAGTGGTTTTTAATGGTAGAAATTGCTAGAAAATATTGCAACTAGGCTAAGGCTAGCTTAGGTCTTCACATTCTTAGGCTTTATTTTAATTTTTAGGATTTTCTAATTTGTTTTTTGAAGTAGCCACATATTTTATGTTTTATAAATATGAATTTATTATATTATTGCTAGTTAAAATAAATTATCCTAATAACGGCTTAATAAATTGGTATTTTAGTAGACTAGTTACAACTTTTAGTAATTCTTTGAAGTATAAAATTCCTTCCATATGTAAAAGATGTCTTTGGATTTAAAAAGTTATCTTTTTTTAATTTTAGATATAATATATTTAACAACTTGTATAGTAAATGAAAAGTTCACTATTATTTTAAGGTGTAACTTAGAATTCTTAAAAATGGCACATACATTTAAAGTGACACATATATTGGTTTAAATATTAGATATTTTAAATTATAAATTTTAGTTTAATAGTTAATTATAATTAATCACGTTTTTACTTTATAGTTTTGTGTATAATGATTATTGGATTAAATCATTTTATTTCAAAAAAGCATTTAATTTTAAATATATTGTTTTACAATAGTATAAGGAATAATAGACATTTTTAGTGTGGCAACATTTTCGACATTATTTAAAGGCCGCCAAAGTCGGGCATTCGCTCTCCGGCTCTGGTAGCGTCTAGTTGTGTCAAAGTGTTCGGTACATTTTGAGGTTGTAATTGTAATTATTTGATTCTTTGTTCCTCCTAGTTATTGTTGTAAAATTACTTTAAAACTAGTTAGATAGATTTAGTGTCCAATCAAATAATAATCGTCATCTTGTAATTTTTTTTTTATTAAAATTCGTTCGTAGTTGCTAAAAATAGTATAATTGTAACAACATAATTGATTTCAACACTTCTACTCCGACATAGGGACGGGACGTGTATGCCGATAAATTATTGTTGTACCGATTTCTTTTTAACACTTATAAATACAGGAATAATAATAAAAAAACATTTCTGTAAAATAACCTTATATTTATCTGTAAGCGAAACACATAAAATACACTAAAAGGGGCTAGTAACCCCCAAGCTTAATATCCAAATTGTTTTCACATATGTATTTCTGTACATCGCTTATGTCTTCGGTGAAATCTACTGTGAACATTTGTAAGTGTTCACAATGTTGTATCATTTGTTTAACAACCTGCTTCGATACTTCCAAAGTACAATCCAACCATAGACAGTTTAATTTTTTTAATTTACCTTTTTCTATCAACTGTAACAATGTGTCATCAATATTCATCTTTGTTTGATATTTTAAAACTAATTTCTGTAAATTGTCCGTGCAGTCAAGGAAAAATGTCAATATACTATGGATGCTGTAATTATCATTACCTATTGTCAAATTTCTAAGATGTCTGAAGATTTTGTCGGGTTTTCTAAAGTATCTGGGTGTGACTAAACATTTAGACTGGGTCATAAGACAAAGGGTGATTAGGTTAGGACAATGTTCACCGATGGAAACTATCGCTTCTAATGTCAGAGAATGTTCGATCTCCCATAAAGAGAAATGGGTTAAATAACTGCCTTTGACAGCTAAAAGCCGTTGCATCGAATCAGAATAAAAAAAGAATGATAGATCTAAACGTGTTAATCTCAAATCACTTAAAGCAAGTTGTTCTAAAATGGCATCTTTATTATGAGCGGATAGATGAGTAACTGATAATTCCTTTAAATATGGACAGATTTTAATTAATTTTTTAATACCTTCCCCTGAAGCGAAGTGGCAATTTATTTTTTTCAAACTCAAAGGACCGATATCTACACATGTTGTGATTAAAGTGGCACCAATATCGCAGGATTCGATCCTCAATTCTTCTAAATAAGGGAGTTCACTGATTAACATTATGATACCAGCTTGTGAAACACATCGCCCTAATCTATTGGCACGCTCGTTGCGAGGCGGGTCCATAGCTAGTATGCGTAACTGTTTCAAATTCACTATTGAATATAGACCTGCGTCTGAAACATTCCTAATCAAAACGGAAGCGTTGATAAGCGATTTGCCAATATCAACTTTCGAAACAATATTAATCTCTTCGAGTAGTAAACAATTTGAACCAACAATTTGAAGGATTTCATCGGTACAGACAAATTTAAGGTCTAAAACAACTAAGCGAGTGAAATTTGGGAGGTTTTGTATCCAAAAATGTTGAGGTATACCATTGTCAAGGTCGCATTTGCGGAAGACTGTCATTTTGGGATGTGTCAAGACATGAAGCTGTATTCGAGGGTCGCCTCGGTACTGGCAACAGGTTCTTTCTAAACAGAGAACATCGAACAACCTGAAAAAGATTAAAATAATCAATAAACTACTATTAATACAACCAGCGATATATTTTTAAACAATAAAAATATGTTTAATAAAATCAATGTTTTTTTAATGGTCTATTTGAGAGGCTAAAAACAACAGCTGTTTTGCACAATGAGACAAAGAGCAATACTATATTTTCTCTTAATTATTGCTACATATTTTACAAGAGTTCTATTTTTTTAACTACTGAGTGTTTTTGATAGAACAAAATAGATGGAATGGTAAACATTCAATTGATTTAGATAAGTAAATTGGTAAACATACCTGGCTGGTAGCATAGACATTAAATGGCATTTTAAAGCATACGCCTCCCGTTCGCAATCCCCAAATTTATTTTCAGGAAAACTCTTTTCAATAACATAACAAGCTGAATTAATTAAACTAATACAAGTCTTAACGCATAATTTAAACAAACTATTGGGCTGTTTTCGAGGTGACATTTTAGTTTATTTATAAAAACTACACGTATTTAAAGTTAAGGGACAAATATATCTACAACAATAAGTTTTACATTTCACAATATGTAACAATTAATAAAAAACAAGATCACTTTTTATTGCAATTGGCCAGCCATTTCCAAAATTGACATTGTTTGACAAATATGTAATGACATTTGACTTGATTTAGTGTTGCCAAGTGTATCTTAAGGAGTAAATAAAAGAAGTAAGCATTTATGTACTCTGTGCACATTATTTTACAGATTGAAAGAAAAATGCAGTTGTTTTAGTTTTTGATAATGAAGTAACATTTCATTAATGGTGCTTATTTATAGCGAAAATTAAACTCGTACAAAAACACTTTGATGTCAATTTGTCGAAGAGGACAATAAAATATTTTTGTATATGACTTACGGTAGTGGAAAATCTCTTTTTCATCTCAAGTATCATGAATTCATCATAAAATGTCTAAAATTTGAATAACATATTATGGACGTTCCATTGATTTTCCAAATTCTTCTGCATTAATCAAGTGTTCATTTACAATTAGCTTAACTTTGTTGGTCGAGTCAAGTTTGTAAAGCTACCGCGTAAGACAGAAAATAAATGTGGGTAATTTTTTTCTCTGAATTGCGGAGAACGAAATTTTTCTCATTAAGCTCGCAAAAACAGTCCGATTAATTTTTTAAATAATGTACGAACGATATTGGATAATCAAGGTTTTCTTTTTTACTAAAAATAATGATTTTAGTAAGTGCCAGATACTCTCATTGTTGCGCAATTTGATACTACCATTGAGAAATCTGTGAGTATATAAAATAAAATATGTAATAGTTAATAACATATTGTATAGTAGATATCTGTGGTTAACAACCAATTGAAAAACGGCAGTTCTCAAGTTTCTACTTTAACGTTACTTTATATCTGATTTTGTCAAGTACACAACTTCGAAAGTGTTGTGTAAAGTAGATATCAAGGCCTCTGGAGTACGTAGTTATTTATTTACGTTGTTCTTAGTTCAATAACTTCTTTAATTTTCTATTAAATAGTTAACAAAATATCGCGTTATTCGCGAAAATGGATGTAAACTAGATTCAGATGACATATCCAAAATTGCAAGTTTTTTCAGTACTCTGTTTTAATAGAAAACCCGTGTGTAAATATTTTTCAATTCGGTTTCATTTCGTCCATTATTGAAAACGTTTGCACTTTTTTTTGCTGTTCCTATTTCAGAAATTCCGCTACTGATAAATGCAAGCTGCTGTTGTTACATAATTTTAACTTCTGTTTAACAATGTGATTAATAATGAATATAATTCTTATCTGTCACTACTAGCTGTTAATGTGTTTTTAATATGAAATTGCATGATAAAATGTATTCGGCTATTGTCTTCATGTAACTGATATTACATTAACATTTATGGCGTAGGTACAAAGTCCATTTGAAAAGGTTAAGGAAAATAAATGAACTACTCTTTGACAGACTTAAATAATGTTTTAAAAAATTTATGACTAAGCAGTATTTTTTTTATTTACACAAAAAACCATTGTCAGATACAAAATCAGATCCGGTAATCCCTTTAGCTTTATCACTTGCCAAAAATAATATTAAAACTGCAATTTCAATTGGTTTAGAAACTCTCTTCAGAGGTGTAAGATTTTCACGTTCAGTTCTATTACCTATTCCCAGGCCAGCATTTTGGCGAAAATCAGTCTCGACAGGACCAGGGCTGATTGCATTAACACGCACACCATATTCAGACAATTCCAAAGCAGCACAGCGAGTAAAATGATCGAGAGCCGCTTTAGATATACCATAAGAAAGCATTTGCGGTAAAACTGGACTACTCTTACCAGACACACTCGATATATTTATTATATTTCCCTTTGTTTTAATAAGATATGGTGTTGCTAATGTTGTTAAATGCATCACAGCTCTCAAATTAGTAGCCATTACAGCATCATAGCTTGCCATTAAATTACCATCAAGGATACTTCCAGATTTGGAAACTCCAGCATTATTTACAAGTACATCCAGTCTTCCGAAATGTTTAATTGTTTCTTCTATCGCTGTCTTTGCTTCCTCATCTTTTGAGATATCAGCTTTAACAATTAATGGTTTTTTACCGTATTTTTCACATTGTTTGTAAACATTATTCAATTTGGTTTCGTTTTCAATATTGTTGAAGCCGTTAATAATAACATTTGCACCTTCTTTAGCAAATTCAATAGCAGTTGCTGCGCCTATTCCTGAACTAGCACCGCTGATAAAAACAACCTTGTCTGCGAAAGACATTTTGGTAACTAAATTTTAATTTACTTCTGAACGTGAACTTATCTGTTGTTTTATAATGAGGATAAGAAAAGGTGTTATGAAAATTATATGATAAGAATCTTTTACCACTCGGCTTTGCTGACAGCAATAATTTTTTCGGTGACTAACATTTTTGTTATCTTTCAAGATGTAAGATATTCTGTTTCTTTTTGGACCTAGAAAACAATCTCTTTTGAAAACTAGTTAAATATATTACAATTGTCTTTGTTAACTTAGATGCAGTTTACAAAAAATTATAATTCTAAGATTAAAAGGTAATTAAAACTCCATTGTTGTATTTAAACATTATAATAGTACGATACATAGTTACAGTTTATTAAAAATGCAATAATCAACAAATACCGTTTTTTACTAAGACAATGTTAAAATTTATTTTAGTAGACAGCCATTGTCGGAAACATAATTAGACCCGGTTATCCCCTTCGCTTTATCACTTGCTAAAAACAAAATTAAGTCGGCAATTTCAATTGATTCCGATATCCTTTTCAAGGCCGAAAGATTTTCTCGTTCAGTTATATCTTCTCCTATGCCAGCATTCCTTCGAAAATCAGTTATTACTGGACCAGGACTAACAGCATTCACACGAACACCATGTTCAGATAATTCTAAAGCTGAACAACGTGTAAAGTGATCTAATGCTGCTTTAGAAACACAGTAAGATATCAATTGTGGGTTCAATGGCATCGAACTACCAGATATACTGGATACGTTTACTATATTGCCTTTTGTTTTGATTAAATGTGGAGCAGCCAACGCTGTTAAATGCATTGCAGCTCTTACGTTTGTACCCATAACCTCATCGTAACTTTTTAATAGATTCCCATCAAGTATGCTACCAGGTTTCGTAAAACCAGCATTATTGACAAGAATATCTAGTTTTCCAAAATGTTTTATAGTTTCTTCAATAGCTGCTTTTGCCTCATCATCTTTAGATATATCAGCTTTGATAATTAAAGGTTTTTTACCTTGCGCATCACATTGTTGATAAACGTTCTTCAATTTTGTTTCGTTTCGTCCATTAATAACAACGTTTGCACCTTCTTTTGTAAATTCAATAGCAGTTTTTGCACCTATTCCTGAACTTGCCCCACTGATAAATACTACTTTGTCTTTAAAACTCATTGTGAATGCTTCACTTGAAAAATACTAGTCAAGTACGCGATATGTATTGAATTGCTTTAAAAGAAAACTACTTATCTAATATTATTAACGCTATCTGAAGTGGCATTAACCTTGTTACGTCATATCTGCGTGTTAACGCTAGGTGACAGGCAACACTTACAAATATTATCTATAATTGTATATGTTTAAATGAGACATTGTATTATGAACTTTAAATGCTTTGTAACGTTTATTATTTACTATTTAAAGATATCAAGTTATCCAAGAAATAATAAGTCAAATACTGGTAGTTATTTTAATTTATTTAAATGTTATTTTTAAATTAGAATCGAGAAGAATGTGCCAGCTTTACATTAAAACAGGTTTAAATGTCTTTGGTATTGCTAGAGTATACTAATTATACTCTATGGTCTTTTGTAATCTGTAGATAATTTGGTAGCGCGACGGAATTTGGCGCACATGTAAATGTATTGTTGTACGACAAAAGGCAAACGTAGATTTGAATGGTTTATTATACACATTTTTATATTTTTAAAAGAAGACCGTTATCGGATACAAAATTGGATCCGGTGATACCCTTTGCTTTATCACTTGCTAAAAACAATATCACATCTGCTATTTCAATCGGTTCCGAAACTCTGTCCAAAGCGGGATGAATTTTTCGATCAGCCATTAGTTTTTCAGTACCGGAGTTTTTTCGGAAATCCGTTGCTACAGGACCGGGGCTAACTGCGTTAACTCGTACTCCAAATTTAGAGAGCTCTAGCGCCGAACATCGTGTGAAATGATCTAGACCCGCTTTAGAAACACAATATGATATCATCTGTGGCAAAACTGGAACAGCAACGCCACCTACACTCGACACATTAACTATATTTCCTTTAGTTTTTATCAAATATGGTGCAGCTAATTCAGTCAAATGCATTGCTCCTCTTAAATTTGTAGCCATTACTTCATCGTAACTTTTCAATAGATTTCCATCAAGTATGCTTCCACATTTTGAGAAACCAGCATTGTTAACTAGAATATCAAGTGTTCCAAAATGTTTTATCGTTTCTTCGATAGCTCTCTTTGCTTCTTCATCTTTTGAGATATCAGCACTTATCATTAACGGCTTTTTACCGTATTCTATGCATTTTTCATAAACGCTTTTTAACTTGGTATCGTTAATTCCATTTATAATGACATTTGCGCCAGCTTTGGTAAATTCTATAGCAGTTGCTGCTCCGATTCCAGAACTTGATCCACTGATGAATACGACTTTGTCTTTAAAACACATTGTATTAATTTGTATAACACTACTAATGATTTGATTTAGCGTTGTTTATTTATATACCATGGTTATCTTGTGAGCGTGCGCACACCAGGAACTAAACTATCGCACAACAGTCTAGACTCGCTTTTAGCTTGTATTAGCTGCGAAACAATCGACAATCGCACAACAGTTGTTCGACATTTACGTTTCGGGTGTGCGCACGTTTTTAGTTATAATGGTTATAAATTCTTACTTGAAGTGCGTGATTGTGCATGTTATGTTTTATTGCCTGTAAATATTTTCCATTATTATGTTCAGTTTGATTTTACTTACGTTTTCACAATAATAATTAAAATTGCGACATATTAGAAAGAAGCGCTGATAGCTTAATGGTTAAGTGTATGGATTTCCAATTTCGTGGTTGAGGGTTCCAATCCCAATAGTTCCTCTATTGAATGTTACAATAAATATTAGTAAAAAAACATAAGTCTGCTAATATTTGTTAATATACAAATGAAAAATTTAAGAAAACAATTAAAACAAAACAGCTAGATAAATAGATTTATTTGTACAAATTACAGAAACTTGATTAGTTAACTAAAAGGAAGCCGTTGTCAGATACGTAATTGGACCCGGTGATGCCTTTTGCTTTATCGCTTGCCAAGAACAAAATCACATCGGCAATCTCAATCGATTCTGACACTCTATTAAGAGCTGTAGGTATAGTACGGTCTGGCATAATATCTTCGATGCCAGCATTTTTTTGAAAATCAGTTGTTACCGGACCAGGGCTCACATTATTCACTCGTACCCCATGTTTCGACAATTCCAATGCTGAACAGCGTGTGAAATGATCAAGTGCAGCTTTAGACACGCAATATGAAATGAATTGTGGCAACAAAGGCACAGCTGTACCCGCCACACTAGAGATATTGATTATATTCCCTTTGGTTTTGATCAGATGAGGTGCAGCTAATTCTGTCAGATGCATTGCACCTCTTACATTCGTAGCCATAATTTCATCGTAACTTGCTATCAGATTTCCTTCAAGAATACTCCCTGGTCTAGAGAATCCAGCATTATTAACTAAAACATCTAGTTTTCCAAATATTTTAATCGTTTCATTAATAGCTGCTTTTGCTTCATCATCTTTTGAGATATCAGCTTTGATTATTAACGGTTTCTTACCGACTGCTTCACATTGTTTGTAAACATTCTTCAGTTTGGTTTCATTTCTTCCGTTTATGACTACATTTGCTCCTTCTTTGGCGAATTCAATAGCAGTGGCAGCTCCGATACCTGAGCTAGCGCCGCTGATGAAGATCACCTTGTTTGAAAAACATTTGCCAGACATTGTTTAAACTGTTAATAGGACTTTCTATCGTATAATGATTGTTCTACTATGGTTTGTCTTTTGTCTTTTATATCAAATGTTAGATGCTCCACTTCAGATGTATCAGTTTATAATCGCTAAGTGGCACTTAATAATATCCTGTTAATAATGTTGTTAATTGCGGAAGCCCCTCGAAAATAGTTATTATCAATGATATTGCAGTTGCAAAGGACGAACTCAACTACACTTGTCAATAAACTTACTAAATAGTTGATAGAACGACAATTCAAAACATTAACTGGTCTCCATGCAAAGTGTTAGATTAATACTGACAGTTTTAACTGAACAATGAAACAGTCATCGCGTGAGCGTCGGTGCCTCAGTGGTTTAAGCATTTGACTCGTAATCTACAGGTTTTAGGTTCGATTACCTTAATCCGAATGTACCAATGTGATTTTCGAATTTTCTTATGTACATAATTTAACCGACGTTCCAACGGTGGAGAAAAACATCGTAATAAACCAACCACTTGGCCAGCGTGGTTGACTATAGCCTAGTCACCCTATCTTAGGGTAGTCTCTTAGCCTCTCAGTCGGAACGTATAGGGACGCTGGTGATCATGATGAAACTGTTGTATGTAGCTTTATGCTTTATCTCTTTTAAGAGTTAAATAACAAAAGAATAATACAATTCAAATATTTTGAACAATTGAAAGCGAGCGATAGTATAAAAGTTCTGTAAGAGCATTTTGACGTGTGCGAAATAAATCATAGGAACGTGAGAACTGGCCCAAATGTTTCCATGAGATCTTATTCGATAACAAGAGACCATTTGTTTTGGCCTCACGTGTCAGAAACGGTTTTTAAGATATTTCCTACTTATATTAAATTTAACCACCAGATGTCGGCTAAATGTTATTTTTTGTTTAAACCAAATTAAATACGTGAAATATACATTTTATGATTAATATGAATGGCCATAGATATAAAAACCTATTTATTTACACATATGAAAATTTACTTAAGCATTTTAAGGTTTCTTTTATATTTTAATAATTTTATTCTGTGTTAAATTTAATTAATTCAAAGTTAAAACTTTGACAATCTCTTGAAATTAATTTTGTATAAAATTTTAAGTTTCAAAATGCCTATGAGAGTTAAATTCTTTTCAGCTATATTGCATATCTAATTTACTCTAATTCTTATTAAATGTATAGTTAATTTTACTAATAATATAAATGCGAAAGTTCATATGGATGTTTGTTAGAGTTTCTAGCCTTAACTGTTGAATAGATCTCTATCAAATTGGTCATAGATGTAGAACATAGCCTGGAAGACCACATTTACAGAAGGTACACATTTACGGAAGGACACTTACTTTTGTTTTTTTAAACTTCAAGCTAAAGGAGAGAAAGCTAGTTATTAATAAACTTAAAATATAAATTTGAATAAGCAATCAATACTTTAAGAACGAAGTTATATATTTTACTTAACTTACATTTCGAAATACGTGTACTCTAACTTTAGCAAAGAGCTCTTGGATTCCGATTTGCTTTACGAAAATGACGCCTTCGATCGAAAACAAGATTGGATTGGAATTGACGTAGCCGAATTCAAAGAAAGAATTTTGTACTCAACTTTTATTTATTTTACACTTGCTTCGGCCCGTGATTTCGACCGCGTGGAATTAAAAAAAAAGTAAACAGCCAAGTGTTCTTCGTGTCTTCAACATCTAAATTTCATCGAGATCCTTTTAGTAGTTTAGGTTACGAACTTTAACAAACATCCAGATAAACTTTCACTTAATGATGTTCGTCATATTTTAAAGTAAAAAGGAAATATAATAAAGTGTTATTTTAACAGTGGTAGAGCCCGCTTTAACATCGCACGAATGGGTCGGCTGTCCCGGTGTTTACGACCACACAGAAAACAGGCGTGAAGTGTAAGCCATTCCGCGTTTCGTCTGATGAGTGGTGCCAAAAGACTAATTTAGGCCCTCTCCCTTTCCGCCCATTCTTCGGAGGAAAGGATGGAAAGGAAAAGTAGATTTGACGGTGGAGGAGACGCATAAGAGGGGGAAATGCCCTGTTTATGTGCGTTTTCTCCTCCGTCAATTAAGGGTAGGCAACGCATCTGCAATTGTGGATATTTATGGACAGCGGTCGCTTTTCATTTTAGTGGATTCAGGTGACCGCTTGCTCGTTTGCCACCTTATATTATAAAAAAAAAACTCTGTGAATAAAAGGTTAAAAAATAAAGTATCTAACCAACAGATGAATAAAATTTGAAACGATTCGATTAAATCGTTTGTCATTAATTATTACAACGAATGACCCTTGCCTATTTCATAGGTTCATTCAACATTGAACGTATCATTCAATTACCGAATGAACGAAATGATCATCACTACATTATCGCAAAGCAAACTTTGTATCGTTTATTTGACAAAATAAAAAGGATTATTAAATATTGTTCTACATTTACAAAACGCGAAACGAAATGATTTTGTTTACCGAAATAAAGGAAATACAATTTGTTATGAAGCAATAAGGAAAATTACATTTGAATTGACATTTTATTTAACAAAATCCATTTCGATTGATATACAATTTGCACGTATTTACTTGACAATGCAATTATTTTTTTATGTATTTATTTATCTTTTTTATTCTGTAAAATACTATTCAATAATAATTTTATAAAAGGTTATGTCAACACTACAATTCTGTTAAAAAGACACAAGAAGTTCCAGCATTGGATTTATCTTACTTCTTACTAATATTATAAATGCGAAAGTTTAGATGGACGGACGAATGGATGGATGGATGGATGGTTGTTAGCGTTTGTAGCCTAAATGGCTGAACGGATCTCCATGAAATTTGGCACAGGTTTAGAGCATAGTCTGGAAGAACACATAGGCTACTTTTTATCCCAGGAATAGTTACAGTTCCAGTGGGAACCATTAATTTAGTTTTTTAATGTTCATTCGATCATTTTGCAACGGTTCAACATATCTTATTGAAATTTGGCACAGATATAAAACAAAGTCTGGAGTACACATGAGATAAGCTTCATCCCAGAGAAATGTCCGGTTCCCGAGGGATACGTAGCTTTTTGTAATTTATATAGTTCGTATGTTTTCTAACACCACGCGGACGAAGTCGCGGGCAACAGCTCGTATATCCATATGACCAAAAATAAATTAGTAGGTTTAACTTAGATAACCACAATCGTGTGTGTGCACAAAATTGATCGTTGTCTATTCGTTAAGACTTAAATTAGTTAATTAACGACTTGTCCTGTTTATTACAAACGACAAGACTACCTTCTTAAAAACAATTCAGTTATCTGAAAATACACCTTAAGAGTACTACATAGAGTTGTTTTTACTTTGTTTTGTGTAAGGAATTTCTTCCGTGTTTTGATGACTCATAAAATGATTACTAAGAACATTATGAGGTTCTTACAAGTAATGTAATGCATGAAAGATTAGCAATCAGCCAGTCTTTAGCACGCCATCTACATTTTGTAGCGATAACTCTGTTAGAATTCTTTTAATAGATACAAATCTTGGAAAATCGGGAGATCGGCGTTATTAAAATATATCGATGAAATAAAAAGTGAAGTCTGTTAAATATAGAATGTACTTCCTAAGTAAAAAGGAAACTTTTTTATAAATCGTTTACTTTCTAATATTTATCGTACTTAAATTATTAAAGAGGAAATATTTGTCCTGTATGTAACGAGTGAGAAACTTCTTATTGATGTCAAAATGTGTTTTTCTAATTAAAAACTACATTCTTACTGTAACTTAGGGTATGTTTATTGCTAGTTTTTTTTTTAACTTTTCCCAACGATACCTGCAAAAGCTATTTATAAAAAGAACTGCTTATAAAATCGTATGCCTTTTTAATGTTTGTTAACTTGATTGAGGCTTTTTTCGTAATAAGTTGTCTAAGCTTTAAAGCGATTTGATTAAATAATCGCACAACTGGTGCGAATTTCGATTGTTTCGCAGCCAATTCAACTGTTTCAACATCTAAATTTAGGAGGAATTTAGTCCCTTTCCCTTTTCACCCTTTTCTTAAGAGGAAAGGACGGGAAGGAATAGTGGACTTGCAGGTGGAAGAGACGCATAGGAAAGGGAAATGTAGCATATATGTGCGTCTCCTTCTCTGTTACTTAATGGTAGGCAACGCATCTGCAATTGCGGATGTTTATGGGCAGCGGTCGCTTTCCATTTCGGTGGATTCAGGTGGCCGCTTGCTCGTTTACCACCTCATATTATATAAAAAAAAGGAGTAGTGTGTTTATAGTTCATAGAAATCAAAGCCAGACTAAACAGTGCGATAGTTTTAGAGGTGGGTACACTCTTATATTTGAATTCGTATACTTTATGTTAGCTTGCGGTCAATTTCTTAGCGTCTTCATCACACTTGTATATTCAAGACACGCCAGCGTCTTTTCAACGATGTCATTGCGAAGCGAATGGAGAAAACGTCCCTTTATAAGGGGGTTTTTAATACATTTTTAATGTACGGTATTAGCTGGCAATCTATTTTTTTAATTTTTATTTAATTCGACTGTCTAATGTTTTACTAGGATTTTATAAACATGAAAAGCAATTTCTAAAGATACATACTAAAAAATTGTATTAAAATAAGAAAGAAAATAAAAGAAAACAAAGAACAAGTGAATGCTTATTGTCTCCAACACACTTAAGATGTCTTGAAAAATGTGAATCCTTCGAATTCGGTTTTCTCGAGCCCTTCTGTATCGAGTATGCGAAGTTATCTTACATTTTTTGCTTGTTAGTGAGGTTTTGTTTTATATATCTGTAGGATAAGGAGGTTATAAGGAGGTTAAATATGTTTCTTTTTAATATGTTTACTTTTTAATTGATTTCGAATTTTATATTTTGACGTTCGTTTAAAATTAGTTTTATGTTGAGAGGCAGAGAAAAAAGAGGAACGACGATGTAATAAGATGTGTTTTTTGTAAAATGGTGTAAATATTAAAAAC